CAAGGATTCGATCTGGGCTGATGCTTGCGACAACACCAGCGATGACGAGGAGAAGAGTGTTGGCTCCAGCGAGGGCCCGAGCACCCCTTCTGACACCTCCACTCCGGGTTCTATCAACTCTTTTGTCAACCCTTTCGAGAAACGCCCGAATCCCTTTGCAGCTTCGACTACTCCGAAGTTAACCCCACTCAATCCTTTTGCGTCCCTTGCCAACCGTCAAGCGGCCCCCTATGCCCCATTCGGCACTTCTGTTGGCGCCATGCGAGAGGAGCACTCTCGGCTCCCATTTCGCCCTTCGGACAGCCCTTCGCGCATCACTGGCACAGCATCTGACGCCCCAGATGCCGAAGCATCTCTTATGGCTATGACTAGACGCCGCGGAGGTCGCGGACGCCGTGGCAAAAAGCAGACGGTAAGCACTGGAATATACTCATCAATAGTAATCACGCTAACCACCTTGAAGCATGGGATTGCTAAGAAGTAGCCGCGTGAACATGGCCAGAGCGCGAAGAAGGCATGCCATGCGATCGGTCATTATATCTCGACGTTGGCCTGATTCTGAGAAATTTTCGTTTGGCTTCTGAGCCTATAATATCTTGCACGCCGTCAATAACATCACTCGCACAGGTATGGAGATCAGTTTCGCTAGAGCTGTTGGTGAAGACTTTGCTAATGTCGCTTTAGTTACTTCCAGGAGAGGAAGCGGGTTGATAGCCAAGCACTAGCGGTTCAAGTTTTCTCTCCTCGCGCGTCAACAACAGAGAGCTGAGCGGTGGTGGAGTGTATCAGTATACCCAGGGAACAACACAGAAGAAGCGCAGGATGTCCTTCAGCTTATCACCTGTTGGCTCCGGGTCGGGGATAAAGTCGCAAGTGATGATTCAGCTTCTCTAGGTCCATGGGGTGTATCAGCCAGCGTGCATTTCCTTACTCTTCAATCTCCTTTGGCTTGATTTTCTAGATTAATGATACATTCACTGCTCAAAAACCTCGAGAAACTGTGACACCTAGTAATACGGACATTGGTGCTACCCATCCAGCAGCTCGACGACTTACCGTATACCCGAGCTGGAACACCTCTGCGAGTATATCAGACTCCAGCTTAATTACACTGAGACTAGCTCTGCCCCGAGCCACTGCACCTGTCCTCTTCGGGGGGGAGTATTGAACACAACGCCAAGCACCGGCACCACCACCACACGGAGGTATGGAGCCTCTCAGTGAGCCGCTTGCGAGACTCATGAGGTATCGCGGTTGTCGAGTGATTGTCGCGAGGGTGAGGGACGAGTGACCGTGAAGTATCTAGAAATGTCCGATCAGAAACCTCTCAAGGGAGTACTGATGGCATCACATCTTGACTAACTACACAATTGACAGGCAGCCAGTGTTACTCAATTTCTTACACAGATGTACTTGTATCATGTTTTTCAAAGCAAGCCAAATTGCTTCTATTGAAGAATTCGAATCAAGAATGGCCGTTGAATGAAAATCAACGCGAGATAATGTGCTCCAGTTGATACATCGCACTCGTAAACATAGTGTTCGTATCTGTTGGAAGAGTGCCTATGTGGGATGATAGTGTCATATTATTGTTGACACTGCCCTTCATCTGGTGCCTTCCTCGCCCAGGAGACAGTCGTACCTTCCCTACCTCAACACTACCACTGCCATTCAATCTTCATTGATTTTTGTCACTTGTACCTTTTGCTGGTGCCCCAGGTATTTAGTCTCAGGTCAATTGTCCCTGAACACAACACTGCATTCCCATCCAATCCACCACTCATCCACACGACCTCGGATGACCAGGTCTTGTTGACATCCGCCTCTCTTCACCGCCGCGCTGTGAGTGTGCACCTCGCCTGTGTCGTGTCCACGCTTCCGTCGTTTCTGTCGTGTCCGCGCTTGTGTCGCTTCTGTTGCCGTGTGGTCGCAACACCTAGACGTCGCGCGACGTGTAAGTACACCACCACTAGTTCTAGTTCTCATTTGTGCTCCAATCGTCTGAACATAAGACCAGAATCTGACCACCTAGCAGAATTCATCATCCACACCACCTCTCACTCTCGATACCCATCCATATCCTCAAGGTCCATTAAGCCCACGAGTCTGCCGCCCAGACCCATACACCATCATCATGTCAGACACAGACACAGACACAAAAAAAGCCAATCACATTGCCAACCTGGAGCTGAAGGGCCGTTTGACCAAGAATGGCATGACTTACGACAGCCAAGTGGTCACTCGATATGCTGGATCGGACCGAGTGATTCTGGACAGTATGAAGGAGGCAGGCATCGTCACAAGCCGACAGAACGTTCGCGCGGCTGTGATCGAGATGTTCCAGCAAGCTGAGCCGCTGATCCGACAACACCGTCCCCAAGGCGTCGAGCTTTTCAGAATTCTGTGGATGTTGAAGAAACGATGCGAGTGGGCCACCACGATGAACCATTGGCTGTTTGCCGATTTCTTCGTCGCATTGGTTGAGGCTCGTCGCCGGTGGGAGCTTTCGCCCCGTGTCCGGGATTTGAGGCATTCAATGCCCATGACGCGAGCCATCGTCTCGTTCCGGCATGCTGTCGGAGACGGCATTCAGACCCACGATCCCACGCGTACATACACGCCCGGAGAAATTCCGTCCTGGATCGCCGTACGATACGCCATAGAGTATCGTCGTATGCATAAGCCGATGGTGTGCCCCGTCGGTTTCCGTCCGAACAGACATCCTGGCGTCTCCCGAGCGTACCAGATCGAGGGCGACAAGAATACATACCACCAGATGGCCCCGATGTCACTGAGCCTTCGCCTGCGTTGATTTCTTGCGTAAGAGTCTATTCTCGTCGACTAATTGGTCCGACATAGAAGTACGTACCGAAACAGTCTCTGGAACTTATGTACATACCACTCACTAACTCAAACTGTGGTCAAAGTCGTCAAGCTTTTTCTTTTTCTTTGGTCCGAGTTCTTCGTCGCACCGTAAGATAAACATTCGTCCAAGCCTTCGTCTAGATGTCGGCCGATCAAAGCACCTTGTGAGGATATTGTCGACTGGTTGTAGACAAAGAATGGGAGGATCGATGAGAGAACATGTTGCGTGCGAGAATCAGTGTAGAATCAGGGTATTGGATTCTGATCACCGAGGACTTGAGGGACTACTCAACATAGTCTGATGATAGTCCGAGGGCGTATTGGATTGTCGTGCTTGCCTGGTCCGGGTGGTGGATGATTGCGATTATGACTTGATGATGACACTTGGCGACACGTGAAGTAGCGCTGCCGATTGCATCGACTGCCAGTAGATCAATTCTAATAGCATTACACCATCCATGATGCACTACAGAGTCCGGATTCCGTGGTTCGCGGCATTCACTGTCTCCGTTTCGTACTGCGAGTATCTCATTGGCATATCGAATTATGGACTAACGACACCTTCCCAGCATGGAGACTGATGTCTAGACGACATCTTATGCAAGAGCTCCATTAAATCTCTTGGGGTTGTGATGAAACCTAGACGTATTGATTCAATGTGTGATGAAGGAAATGCTTGTTACGGTGAAGCTGGTGAAATCATGTCATGATCAACAGCGGAAGCGGGGCATTACGCTACCTACTCCTCCGAGGTAGGCTCAGTGGAAAGGGGGTAGGCGCCCCACTAACGGTCGTTCCTTCCACCTGCTTGCACCTTGGGCTACCTAGGTACGCCCGCAAGATACCTAAGTAGTTTACATAACGCTGTCTACATAACGCTGTTTACAGTGTCGACTGCGCAGCGCGAATGACCTGAGCTCTGCTACAAATGGAGGTGTCATTCCAGCTACCTCTGTCGGTTAGACCACAAAGGCTGGAGAGCGACAGGTGATGAGTGGCAACGGTATTGGCTATTGAGAGGCTTTTAGGGGGTCGTCAGGCATTGAATGTATTGGTATGGATGATGATGTAGAGGTGGGGGGTGCTGGACGGAGTCCAGGTACTGTAGATCTATACGTATGGCCTGTGCACCTGCCATGGTAGGCGATAGGGGTTATCGATTGCATCGCCAACTTAAGCACCGACATCACCTTAGCAACGAGTTATGGGGTTTTAGTGAGACCATTGCCACGATGCTGAGATATAGTGATTGTCGCGAGGGTGAGGGGCGAGTGATCGTGAAGGTTCTAGCAGTATCGTATCTTGAATCTTTGTGCTTGTATCCTGTCCTTCATAGCATGTCACAATGCTTCTGCCGAGGAAGTCGAAATAAGCGGAGGCCTATTGAATGAAGATCGACGCGAGATGCCATTTGAATGAACTTGTGGGAGCTGGCAACGAGTACCTGAGGTACGTAGATTGCTTGGTCTCGCCACTCGAACCCCAAAGGGATATCTTCATGATTGAATTGCTCGGCTCGTGTAGCGGTCAAATCTTTTCATTCGTATCTCATGAGCTCGACTATTTGTTTCACACTGGCCAAGGTGCTTTATTGTACGTACCTGTGTGTGTAATCGAGTATACGTTATCTTGAGGCTACTCCGATATGATACCCTTCTACTCGTGGTTGTCAGTCGCGTGTGATGCTGTGACCGAGGTGAAAGCGCATTAAGATGATTGGGTTTAGGCAATACTACTAGCTTCAATCTTCCGCTTGGGCGATTGACTCGTGGTCCAAGGCCGCAGAGCTGACAGCATAACAATATCGAGGATGCATGGAGCTTGGAATGAGAATGGAGACCGTTCTCTGTCCGCAACGGCGACAATCATTGCCACTTGCCTCAGTACCACGATCGGGCAGAAGAATTGACATCGAGAATTTCATCAACTGGGCTCATCTATCAGGAGCACATATCTACCTAATATAAACTGGCCGTAGTGAGGGATTCCACAGGCGCTGGCAGGCAACTCAGAAAGATGAAGTAATCGTGTTTGCAGCTGTGGTAGGAGCAGGGCGTACGCGGGGCACCAGCTGCCCCACTTCCGCCATCGAGGGTTGGTGTGTTTATGTATTTGAATAACTGGCCCTTTCCCAACATCGAGTGGCCTAATGGTCAGTCATCTAGATTCAATCTAGAATACGTGGGTTCGATTCCCACCGTGGGTGTGTCTTTGTACAACTGACCCGGTTAGTCCGCTTTCCACCGCATTGCGGTCGTTGCGTTTACTTCCATTCCAAAGGGGCTTTAAGATACACCCATATCTGGTTTTTTTCCCATCTCGAGCTTTCAATCTTTTTTTCCAAGTCCTCCTTTGTTTTCACTCTTCATACAATCTCTGGTCTCACTTCCTCCTATCGAATTTCTTCGGCACGGCCCATTTTGGTCGGCTTTGTTTTCTTGAAGCTGCCAACTACTGACAATTTTCGGTTCGGGCCATACTAACGAAGGGCTTGAATTCCAAAGGTGCACTAACAATTTTGGGTCGTGTTGCAGTAGATGAGATTTTCCGTTGTCACGATTGATTTACCAAGTTCCCCGTCAAACAGGTAGAGTTCCAACTTTGAATACCAATCGTACACATCCTCTCATCGATGCCTCTAGAATAGCAATCGAGAGCCCTTGCACGAGCGGGGTCAAATACAATTCTCATTTCCTCATAGACGAAAGTGGCCTCCAGAACATCGCCTACGTCGATACGTACCTTTAGCGTATAGCGGTTGGTGCATCTAAGATGCGCGTGAACAGGCAAAACAAATCTTAAGACGCCAAAATGACGGTTCGCTGTCAATCTTGCCCAGTATCAACCAGTTTCACATTGCGGTATATCAGAGGCTTCCCTAATGAAGTCCCTTTGGATAAGCACAAACCTAAACCCCAACCCATAGTACAGATAACGGTAAATTGATGTCAGAACAATCGACAATTGTGGACAAGACTCGGATGGATGCTCAAGAAGCACTTGCGCAACGCATTGTCGACGTAATAATAAGGCCTTCCATCTCTATTTTATTCACTAAGATCGATACAACGTATATCTTGGCCTAAAGGTAGCCGAAGTCAGAGGGAAAATGGTGTTTGGGTCTACGGCGGCACCACCTTAGGTGAGCACCCGATAACGAAGTTTTTAAAACCTCTTATGTGCGACGTGGTGAGTCTAGGCGATCGGTTGACGGGTCCACTTCCCGAACCTATCATCACGGATGTGATCCTATATCAAAAGATGATAAGTCCGAGGTTTACATCTAGGGATGGTTCCACTATCTTATCCGTCATCGTCACGAGCGAACTGGTAGTGTGGCATCTTTCTTGAACGCGATGCGCTACGCATATGCGAGTTCACACTAGCCGATATTCTTTCCGCAACTGTCAGATTTGTTGTCAATCGGATTAGTAACGAAAAAGACGTGGATGCTTTTTGGGCGGGATCATCCAAAGCCGAGGACATAAAGAATATACCCTACTGCACCACTGGTACTTGGGCCTAAGCACTTTACCATGGGACAGAAAAAGGACCCTAGTGCTTCGACGGCATCTACCAGGCCTCAGGGAGTAGTAAATTGGTGACATTTTGCCATACTTGCGAGAACCTTCCTCGTTACTCCGAGTTCGCGATCAACGTATGCAACTAGATTGATGGGGACAGCGGCAAAGATAACAATAATCCGTGGGCCAGTGGTCCTTTCGCTTTTGTCTAATTATTCCGACTTGTAGGCCTCGCCACAGCTTTGTCCGTTCTTATTGACGGAAGGCCGATCAAATCCACACGTGCCGAGTGTGGCATCGTCTCATCCCTAGGGGCAGAATACCGTTAAGTACCATGGTATCTACCACAGACACTACCATCAAACTCCCAATTCGCCCCTATATGCTTACTCCAAAGTCGGCTTGATTGACTCTGCCTCTGTTAGGCTCACGGTTTATAGTGCTGACCTACTTTCTCCAGTCAGATGCACTCTCAACCTTTCTACTCAGGTCTATTGTCGCGATCTTCGATACTCATCGCCGAATAAGACGCCTGCCAATCCGAGAACCGGGCTTACCCAAGTCCGACGAAAGATGAAGAACACGCTCTCAGCCCCCTGCCCCCCAAAACGATCCCTATCCGGCTCTGTTTTACCCAACAATGATGGTTTGGATGGCATGCTTGCGCCGACTGGTATAAATACGAGTTACCGAAACCAAGAGGGCAATGAATAGTTTCGAGTCCTCGTGCCTGAGTCGAGTAACTTGTTGTGTCGTCTCAAGTGAAGGCGAGCCATGGTGCCCGCGTCCGCTGCCCCTCGTTCCTCGACACCATTGTCATCTTCACCCCCTCCTCGGCAGCCAATACGATAATGGGGAAAATCCCTTGAAGGAGAATCCGCTCAGGCTTCAAGAAACTTGGCAAACCACCCGGTGCCCCAGGACCGGCATCCTCTTGCTGAAGCACTTTCACGAGTATTTCGCTGCACGGCTTATGGCGATTCCTGCACGTCGCGCCCGCGTTTTTGTACCACACGATGCCCTGAGTAGATTGAACGGTCAGAGAGCACCAGTGACTACGACAATCGATCGCAAGACCCTCTGACAACAATACAAGATGACTACATTGAGGGTATGGTTGCTAAGACATTAAGTTTGAGTGTCATATCACCTTACATGAATAGAAGATTTACCGCCGTTTGATAAGAGGTACACCTCCCCACGACGCTGAGCTAAGGGATTAGTAGAACCTCATTACCTACCTATAGGGGAACGACACTAGTTCAGGGCATTGTGTTACCAGTGGAATGACTGGATTCTTTACGCCCTGAGAGCTATATATGTGAATCTTTCAGGGAGTTTCGAGTCCTAAGCTCTTTTTCCGAACACGATGTCTGGGAAGAAATAAGGTTGGTAGCAATTCTCACGAAAGTAAGAGCTAGCTGATCGTAGAAGCTTAAGGGAATTCTGTAAATGTTGATATAGAATGACCAATGTTGGTATAAGACTCCGACTATCTATTAGATAGATGGGCGAATAGCCACGGTCTATGTGTACACATAAACCCCTGTATCGTGCTCTTAGAGCATGCCGAGTAAGTGGGCCAAATCTGACATTTATAATTATTAGTACAACTTGGCAATTGTTCTTGAGAGCGTGATATCGGCGTTTTTCCAAAGTGAACATCAACCATGAGCAAATTAATTACATCGAGAAAACACCTAATGATGGTTTCAGGAAACTATCACAAGCCTTAACCACAATTTCATTCCGCTGCGATCGAGCAAAGTATACAGCAAAGTGCTACCACATTCGGCAAACCGTCGATCGCAAGATTCTAGTTCCAATTCGACGAGAACACGGTTTTCTCTCTTCAAGTAATGGGTTAAGTAGGACGTTGTCGTCGGCGCACAGGTGCCTGATGAGCTAGGTACTCATCCCCGCTATTGCGACTCCAACTCTTCAAGCCTCCCTTAGGTAGGTACAGATAACCTTTACTCTAGTGTGGTGCATTGCATCTCTTACTGCCTTAACTGATTCTCATGAAACAAAATGTGCAATGCCAGCACGTCATGAATACTTACAACTGATAATGCACCGGACTAAACAATTATCACGATTTGAACCAACAAAGTTAGCGTTCTTTTTCGGTGAGATAGATGAACAGCCCCTAAAGATAAAAAGTAGAGAAACTGGCTCAAACGCGCGGAAGTTGGTGATGGTGCGTGTGAGTGAGGAGACTGAAATGACGACACTGTAAGAGATGTTGGCGGAACAGCCGCAGATCTCTGGCGCGATGGAGATCGTGTGAGCGTGCACTCGACGAAGTCAAGGTATTCGCAATCGCCCGTGAGGTGCAGAAAGACTAATGGGATAAGAGAGGTCCTAAGAAAGCGGCCTTGGGTAGGCAAGTGTGCGAAGCGTGTTCAGTCGTTCTTAGGTGTTACACCTAGAAGATGCCAGCAAGAGGGTATGGACGTGTGTGATGGCATGAAGACACACAGCTGGAGGGATAAGAGGGCATCAGGAGTGGCAGTATGAGGGGTATCCTCATACAGGTGTACAACGGACTGATAGAGACGAATCATTTTACTCATGATTACACGTCTGAGCTGTTGCGGAAAAAACGACGCCGTTAATCCCTTCGGAATTAACGACCTATATATAGTGGATACTGTCTGCGACACACCCCAGAGTTATGAGCTGATCGAGGGAACTTAAGGAAGTGCTGTAGACGCTCATAGAGTGAATGATAATGGGATGAGATTCCAACTAACTACTAAATAAATGGTAAGAAAACTACGGTCTATATATACACATAAGAACCCTGGTCTCATGCTCTATAGAGCATGCCGAATAAGTGGGTCATAATCGTGACATGAGCCTTCGTATCCTACTCAGTAGAGCATGTCGAATTCGCTCCAGCGGAAAGCCGAATATGTACCTACGCGACTTCATGACAGTGGACCTCGTCTAGCTAGCTGGCTTATGACAGTTGAATTTGTACGTCTACAAGGATGATGGATGTCATATCTTTTGTCTTTTGCAAATTGCCGAACGATGATGGTCTGATCGGGACATCTATGGATGAAACGGTTCAGAATTGTGCTTACTGTGACCACAATATGTTTTATGACTACCGACATGAAAATTGGAGGCTGAGTAGTGGGTGACAACCTGCCATGATCAGGTGCAAACACGGGTCACCTTGGGCACCTTCCGGCAACCGTATCAAGTAAGTGACCTCGTATTTCAACTGCTATGCAGCAATATGAAACACGTCTCTAGCGTTTAAGAGCCTATTGATATAACGCCATATATGTACAGTACATTAACCTACATAAAACTAAGTCGCAAAAAAAAAAATTTCTTGAAGAACGAGGGGGAAAAAAAGCTCCGTAGTCGCGACTTTCAGCCCCTTTGGAATGGAAGTAAACGCAACGACCGCAATGCGGTGGAAAGCGGACTAACCGGGTCAGTTGTATAAAGACTCGACTACGGTGAGGGATTCGAACCCCCTTCGTCTGTGCCACAGAAGCGCCACAGACCGCTAGGCCAGATGGCCATGCGAATTGTTGGAAGTTGGACAACAATTGAAACCCATAAGGCAACGCACCTCAAGCAAATGCCCCGCTTTGATCATTCAATCTGGCAGCCTAGTACCTAGGTACCTTCTACCCCAGGTACCTCGCCCATGCTTACT